AGGTCTAAACGGTGGTGCCTTTCCAGGCTCCACTGGTATGGTATGACCCACAGCGCGGTCTGGGGGAAGTCCATCAGGAATTGGTTCGAAAACCTCCTTGAATTCCTCCGCCAGAGCCTTCATCTGAGGAGGAAAGTCCTCGATCTCAGGAGACGATTGTGTGGTTTCCTCTAGCTGTACAATAAATAGTGTATCAGCTAATTTTGCATCCTGCCCAAATTGATTCGCAAGGGCGAACTGGACGTCGGGGCGATCAGAACGTGGGGCATCAACAATGTTTACATCCCCTGAAACATGCCACCGAACCACAACACCATTCTTAGTGAAAGTTACTGTGTTGTGTTGAAAATCAAGGATGACCTCATTAGCTCGAAGCCAGTCCATTCCGAGAACAAGGTCTACGCCTGCCAGTAATGGAAGGACGTAAACGTTAATGGTCTCGTTATAGCCTTGAATTTCCATATTGATACGTGTCTGCCCTTTGCTTGGGATGACTCGATCGTCACCAAGACGAATGGGGCAAAACGGCCTTTCAACGAGGACCCCACGACTTGTGGCTCTGTTTTCATCGAAAATAGAAACAGTCGCGCCCGTATCAACAAGAATCTTCGCTTCATCCCCGTCTATTCGACCCACCAGCAATAGGTTTTGTTGATGTTTTGGTCGAATGGGGCATGCAACGATGCGAGTTGGTGGGAGATAGTATGCCTTGACATTGTGTTTTGCTCGACCATAGGATCGAGTGTCAGGCCACCACATGTGATATCCCTTGTCCCACGCGGCAAGTACCGTCCATCCCTTAAGCATGGGGAAGTGTTTGCCTTTGATTGTTCGAGTCACCAGACTGACCGAAGTCAATGGGTGCTCCTGGGTGCAACGACCCACCAGTTCCATTACGGAGGGCAATGCATCTACGTTGCAGCAAATGACAGAGAACTTATCTCTCATTGTTTTGATAGATAGTTGTGTAAGTGGGTGCAATCGAGGTAGGAAAACAGAATTTTCACTCAAAAAAGAAGCAAACAAACAAGAGATTTTGCACTCAGCAAGTTTCTCTAGCTTTAATAGATCATCGTCATGAAGGACGTAAGCTTCATCACCTCGATCTACCTGTCCAGCTAGGTACCCACACCCTAGTTGGACTTGTGAAAATCCTTGCGCGAGCCTGAAGGTCCATCTCCCTTCTTGTTTGCCTGCTGCGGCTTGCCAGAATCTTCAGACCTTTTCAGCGTACGGCACTGTCCCTTCGTATGACCCTTCTTCTTGCAGTAGGTGCAGAAAGGAGTGCTGTTCCTCTGCTGGCCACCCTGGTGAAAGGGCTTCTTAGGCTGAGGGCCATTCTGCTGGCTCTGCGGCTGGAAAGGCCTCTTCTTCCAAGGGCCCTTCCCATTAGAAGGTTGCGCCGCATTGTTCTGGCCACTAGGGCCTTCATCCCCGTTATCCAGGCGGAAGCCAAGATTCCACGCATGTCTTGCCATGAATGAAAATCGGCAAGGCAGTGGAGAGCGACCCAAATGCGGATGCGTCAGGCGACATCTGGTGCTCTGTTGGAGCTCCGGAAGAAGTAGAAGGCCGCCCATTGTTAGGAGGGGGGCGATATATTGGTCCCCTCCTGAGCTGCCTATACTGAGCTTCCAGCGTCGTGCAAGTCGATTCAAGACTGATGCACGTAGCACTTAGCTGCTGCAGGGTGTCCTCAAGGCTCTTGATCTGGTTGTTCTTGAGGCCAAGAGACCTCTTAAACTGACGAGCCTAGGCAGTGACTTTGGTAAGCTGAGCCTGGATTGTTTCAATTGAAACTTTCTGCTCAGCAACTTGAGCCTCAAGCTCATTGACCCTGCGTTTCTGCTGCAGCAAGGAAGATGCTTGTTCGGTCACCGTGGTTTGAAGTTTTTCAAACTCCTCCAGGAAGTTATCATCCGTGCCGACATCATCAAGCCCTTCCTGCTCTCCATTCTCCTCCTGGTTTCCCAGTGCTTCTTCCTCTTCCACAGGAAGGTCTCCTATGCCATCCTCAGCATTAAGGTCAAGGTCTGGAAAGTCTTCCAGATCATCAACTGAGGTCATAGGGACATCCCCCTTTGGTGCTTCCTCATGAGGAGTAGCCATGGAAGAGTTGTTAAGATGAAGCTTAAGGAGAGTGTTTCTTCTTTGTTAAGAAAATATGATCTTTATAAGAGTCCTCTATCACCTAAGTGATAGGCAAGAAAATCTGAAAATTTCAGAAATCTTTTAATAGATCAATATTCTCACAAAGAGAAAAGTACAGAATAAGAGTTGTTAAATAAGTCTTCTATTCCAAGAAGGAAATAGAGAGGGTTCCCCAAATTGCTCAAAGAGCAAAGTTAGAGGAATCTTTTAACAAATCTCTTAGATCTGTAACACTCTGCTATTATAAAAATAGCAATGAGTCTTCCACCAAGAAGGTGGGCAGAGAAATAAATTCTCTTAAAGCTCAAAGAGCTTTTATATCTTGGAAATCCTTGAAGAAGACTTCTTGATCTTAGGAGTTTCTCAACTCTTCTTAAAGAAAGAGCTTGGGACTATTCTAGATCGAGGATCTAGAAACTTATAAATGAATGCCCACAAAAGGGTCACTAGTAGGCTTATAAAAACGCCAACAATAAAACACACAAGGTAAACTAGCTCCTAAGATAGCTTTGAGTCTTCTAGACTTGGTAGTTGAAGCTTGGAGAGTGATAGAGTAGCTTCCACCAAAGGGATATTTGGAGCTTAGAGCACTTGTGAGGGAAAAGTTCTGTACTTAGAGAGAAATCCCATTTCCAAAATTGATCAATTGGAGTTGGGAATGAGAGAATGAGCCTTGGAGCTCCAAACCCCTTCCTCAATACCCCTTGGGGAGCTCCACCTCCTCCATGGCAACAAGGGCAAGGAGCTCCTTAAGGTGAGTTTGCTTAGGTGGCATGTTGGTTGGATTTGCAATCAATGAGAGCAACTTATTTGTGATAAGAATTGCCTGGTTACCTGTTGTAACTTGTAACAGCAGCATTGAAATGTTATTGGTTTGAATGTCCACCAATGCAAAGGTTGGGTTGGTTCCCAACCTTGTTTGTCTTTTAGTGGGTGGTGATTCACAATTGTGGACCAATCAACAATCATCCCTTCCAACCCTTTCTTCCCGTAAGTCGCTACCTTGCGTAGGTAGCGCTTTAGAGAGCCTTCTCTGCTGCTGTGTGTAACACCAGTCTGCTGCGGATTTGGGGTGGGTGGGAGAGGGTAAGCATGGCAAGGCATGGTGTGGTGGGGTGGGAGATGCAGGCATGGCGTTAGTGCGGGCAGAAGAAATACTAGCGAAGGGGGTCAAGAATGGCATGGTATGGTTGAATGCAAGCATTTAATTCATGTGTTGCTGATGCTCCCAGCACTCGCCTCCTACCCATGCAAGTCAGGAACGATGTATACTACTAGTCCCTTCCAAGGCTACAACGAGCATGGGCAGTTGGGCATGGGCAGGCAGGGCGTATGACGGACTGCAGCAGCCGCACCTGACTTTTAAGTCGACTCAAAAGGTTGCACCTAGTGACCTCCTTCCAGCAAGTCAGGAACGATGCATCTCTAACCGCCCCTCCCTCCCTCTCTCCATACTTCCTCTCACCCCCCACCCTCCCCTCTCCCCCCCACACACACACACCCCCAGGCTACAACGAGCAAGGGCAGATGTGAATCGGCAGGGCGTGTGACGGGCTGCAAAAGCCGCACCTAGGGACCTCCTTGCAGCGCTTCGTGGACGAATCTCCCCTGACCTGCCCCGATGGCATAGATATCAGCTTATGGTGGCCGTGGCATGTGGGGGATTTCACTTCACACTACTGCTGTTGACGCCGGGGGGGAAATGTGAGTAGAGGAGGGGAGGGTGGGTGGGAAGGGGGCAGTAGGTTTTGGATTCACAATAGATCTACTTGTAGGGTTGCCGTGGCATGTGAGTGTGGAGGATGGTTCCACACCGCTGCTGCTGACGGCAGGGTAGATCGGTGAGTGAACGGAGATCTTCAGATGAGCTGGAATGGGGTTCACTGGGGCAGCTGGGGCACACACACACAGGGGAAGGCGTGCCAACTCAGTTCCGTATGGGCATGCACCATTCTGGCCGCGTTCCCCGTTCTAACTGTGCATGGACAGGTACACCTGGGGACGGGGGTTACTGGGGCAGCTGGGGCACCAAACGTTGCAGGCCAGCGGCGGCACGTGTGAGGTTGTGCTAAAGCGGGTGGTGGCGCTAAAGCGGGTGGTGGTGCTAAAGCCGGTGGTGGTGCTAAAGCGGGTGGTGGCGCTAAAGCGGGTGGTGGTGCTAAAGCTGGTGGTGGTGCTAAAGCTGGTGGTGGTGCTAAAGCCGGTGGTGGTGCTAAAGCCGGTGGTGGCGCTAAAGCCGGTGGTGGCGCTAAAGCCGGTGGTGGCGCTAAAGCCGGTGGTGGCGCTAAAGCCGGTGGTGGTGCTAAAGCGGGTGGTGGCGCTAAAGCGGGTGGTGGCGCTAAAGCGGGTGGTGGCGCTAAAGCGGGGGGTGGCGCTAAAGCGGGGGGTGGTGCTAAAGCGGGGGGTGGTGCTAAAGCGGGGGGTGGTGCTAAAGCGGGGGGTGGTGCTAAAGTGGGTGGTGGTGCTAAAGCGGGTGGTGGTGCTAAAGCGGGTGGTGGTGCTAAAGCGGGTGGTGGTGCTAAAGCGGGTGGTGGTGCTAAAGTGGGTGGTGGCGCTTGAAGGAGTGTCAGTGACACAGGTGGCTTGTGGTGCGTGCTTACTAATCGATGTATGCTATGAAAATAAATATGAAACAAGAAGGAGGGCTGTTTGGAGGGGAGTTTGGAGAGGGACGCATGGGGGAGGTGGGTGCTTGTCGCTAAATTATTGTGAGAGAGTTGGTGCAGCGCCAGCACTACTGCTCATGCCCAAGGGAATGCGGCTGGTGACATGTGGGCAGGTGAGAGGGTGTGATAAGGGTGCATGTGGGCGCGTGGGAGTTCACGTGGGCGCTTGGGGGTGGGTGCTCGTCACTGGATTTTGTGAGAGGGTTGGTGCAGCGCCGGCCACTGCTGCCCATGGCCAAGGGCGTGGGATTGTTGACCTGTGTGCAGGTGACAGACCGTTTGCGTGCTTATTGAGAGGTGGAGAGGTGAAGGGATAGGGAAGAAGGGATGGGTGTGGGGAGAAAGTAAGGAACGCAACCACTCTCTCATGGTTGGAGCGAAACGACTGCCCTTGCCACCTCTATGCAGCCCTTTCACTCCCCCATGCCCTTTCTCTCCCCCATGCCCTTTCTCTCCCCCATGCCCTTTCACTCCCCCATGCCCTTTCACTCCCCCATGCCCTTTCACTCCCCCATGCCCTTTCACTCCCCCATGCCCTTTCACTCCCCCATGCCCTTTCACTCCCCCGTGCCCTTTCACTCCCCCGTGCCCTTTCCCTCCCCCATGCCCTTTCACTCCCCCGTGCCCTTTCACTCCCCCATGCCCTTTCACTCCCCCATGCCCTTTCACTCCCCCATGCTCTTTCACTCCCCCATGCCCTTTCACTCCCCCATGCCCTTTCACTCCCCCATGCCCTTTCACTCCCCCATGCCCTTTCACTACCCCATGCCCTTTCACTCCCCCATGCCCTTTCACTCCCCCATGCCCTTTCACTCCCCCATGCCCTTTCACTCCCCCATGCCCTTTCACTCCCCCATGCCCTTTCACTCCCCCATGCCCTTTCACTCCCCCATGCCCTTTCACTCCCCCATGCCCTTTCACTCCCCCATGCCCTTTCACTCCCCCATGCCCTTTCACTCCCCCATGCCCTTTCACTCCCCCATGCCCTTTCACTCCCCCATGCCCTTTCACTCCCCCATGCCCTTTCACTCCCCCATGCCCTTTCTCTCTCCCATGCCCTTTCACTCCCCCATGCCCTTTCACTCCCCCATTCCCTTTCTCTCCCCCATGCCCTTTCTCTCCCCCATGCCCTTTCGCTGTGGGCAGTCCTATTAATGGATGCCCATGCATGTGGACTGGTGTGTGGGTAAAGTGCATGCACTGGCAGCAAAGGGGGGTTGGGGGGGGGGGGGCATTCCGCTGTGCTCACTGTTGCCGACTCGCTGAAACTTCTTGCCGAGTTCCGATTGGCCCATTCCCTCAACTTCTCTTTTCGCGGCCCGCGGGGGTTTTCGGAGTGCGCGAAAAGTTCTGATGGATGGCCCGGGGGCAGGGAAGGGAGTGGAGAGAAAGAGGGTGGGGGAGGAATGCTGCGTCGCCAGCTGGCATAGCGGAATGAATCATGGAGGAGTTGCATAGACTTGGGGCTGACTCGCGAGTGTGCTACAGCCTGGTGGGTATTCTAGCAGGTATTCGGAGAAGTAAAAGCTTGCTGTTGGGTGAAGTTGGTATACCGACGTGTCATGTCACCTGTGATCGTGGTGAGGGTGCGTGCGTGTGTGCATGTGTGTGTATGCTTCAATTGATGCTATGTTGGTCTTGTATGCGTCCTTAGAGGTGTTGGGCTGAGAAGGCCCTTAAGGATCTTTGCAGAGGATAACTCTGGGTAGGAAACTTGTAATAGCGGAAGCGTTTAATGAAACTTGTGAACCGACCTTGCACTGGTGTGTGAGAGCAAAGTATATTAAATTAAACAAGCAAATACAAGGTCTTATATAAGGGTACAGGGAATACGAATAGATAGATAACTGTATTGCTGTTGCGATTCGATACAGTGCGACTCGGGCAACTGCTCTGTAACGAGTCAGTTGTGTGTCCTTAACTGTCGCGCTGTAATTGTCGAGTCAAAGGTCGCTGACCTTTGACTTTCTCGTAACCTCCAGGCGGTTACCCTAACCTCCGAGGTTTGACTCGATGTTTCGATTCGGACTGCTTCGCTAGTGTCTTGGGTTTTGACACGACAGAAGCGCACTAAGACTTATTGTTTCCAACACTCCCCTTCGCTTCTGGAGTGTCGCCGCAGGTGACGTGGCCTTGTCCAGTCAGCATCATGCAGTATTCGAACTTCTGCTTTCCGAGCTTCTTGGTCAAGTAATCGGTTGCCATCTCAGATGTTGGACAGTATGACAGATCGAGTTTCCCCTTTTCGATCTCGTCCTTCACGAAGAAATAGCGCAGGGCGATGTGTTTCGTCCTGTTTGCGAAGCCGTTCTTGTTGGCGATGCGAATTGCTGACTGGTTGTCGCAGAACACGGTGAAGCTGGGTAACTCGGCTAACTTTGCTTCTTCCAGTAGTTCGCGAAGGTAAAGTCCCTCCTTGGTGGCTGAGCAGAGTGCAATATATTCCGCTTCAGCTGAAGACAGTGCGATTAACTCCTGCTTACTCGACTGCCAGGAGATAGGACCGATAGGTTCGAGGCGGTAGACATAGCCGGTGCGTGAGCGTCTGTTATCGGTGTCGACGGCGTGATCGGCGTCGACGTAGCCGATTAGCTTGGTCGGTGTAGTTGCGTTTTTGTGATAGGTTAATCCAATCGTCGCGGTGCTGACGAAATAGTGGAGAGCGCGATCGAGTTCCGCCAGATGCTCTGCTTCAGGCTTCTTGAGATAGGTGGCGAGCTGGCTCGCGGAGTAGGATAAGTCGGGACGGCATGTGACTGCTGCGAAGAGAAGACATCCGAGCTTCTTCTGATAGTCGCGTATGCCGGCGGGCTTGAGTAGAGTAGATCGTCCCTTTTCGGTTCCTGACGTGTAGCGGTAAGGCGTGGAGATGGCGCTTGGTGTGAGGCCGAAGCGTTTCGCGATGGTGTCGGCGTACTTCTCGGCGCTTAGATAGATTGCATTTTCTTCCTCGCGGATGTTGAGCCCGAGGTACTGCGTAACCGTAGAAGAGACCGTGAGCGTGAGGTCTTTCTGAAGCTCCCCTTCAAACCACGTGGCGATGCCGTCGGTTGACCCAATGTAGAGGAGATCGTCCACGTAGACGATTAGGAGAACGTAGTCTCTTCCCTTTGTGAGGCGATACATGCCCTGGTCATGCGGGAGTTGTTTGAAACCGATGCGGATGAGGCGGGCGTGTAGGTACTGCTGCCACAGTCGCGGTGCCTGCTTGATCCCGTAGAGCGATTTAAGTAGTTGACAGACTCGGTTGGGTTTGCCGTGGGAGCCATGCGGGAGCTCGACGAAGATTTCTGCATCTACAGGTGCGTAGAATAATGCGTTTGCGACGTCGATTTGTCGCAATTTCTTTTTCTTCATGGCGGCGACGGCGATGAGGATTCGGAGTGAGGTGTGACGGCTGACCGGAGCGAAGGTTTCGGTGTAATCTCTTCCGTGCTCCTGGTCAAAGCCGCGTACGACCCAGCGAGCTTTGAATTTGTCGATGGTGCCGTCGGCTTTCGTCTTCACACGGAAGACCCATTTTCCGGTAAGGATAGTCTTGTTTTGTGCTACGCTGATGGGAACGATTTTCCAGGTGTTGCGCTCCTCCAGTGCCTTAAGTTCTTTGTCCATGGCTTCACGCCATTTCTCCCTGTGTTCCCCCCCCAGAGCCTGCTGAACCGTCGCAGGCTCCTTAGGAATGGTGGCGCCATGGACTGCGGTGACGAGACCAAGGATTTGCAGCCCAGTCTGTGAGTATCGAGGGAGTTCTGGATCCTCGGGATAAGCTGCTTCGTCTCCCGCTTCTGGGTCGGGTATGAAATTTGGCCCTACCCTTTCTGCTTCGTTGGTGTTGACTGTCGCAGGTGTTACGTAACCATTGTCGGCGAAATGGTAGAAGACTTCGGCGTTGTTACTGTCGCGAGGGTTATCCTCATCCATGGGCACGTTGACGGAGCAGTACGGAAGAGGTCCGGCTTCCTCCGATGCGTTGTCGACGTTCTGCTCATCCCAGTTTGCTTCATCCGCTGCTGACGCGAAGGCTCGGTCACCACGAAAACCACTGGTGAGGTCCCGATTCTCGTGCAAGTTGGCGAGGTACGTCTGAAGGGTGAGGCGTTCGTAGAAGATCACATCTCGTGCTGCTACTGTTTCTTTTGTGTGGACGTCGAAGATTCTCCACGCGTTGTAATTTTTCTCGATGCCGAGGTGTAGTCCCCACTGTGCTCGTTGCGAAAATCTTCCCGCTCGTGCTTCTGGGGGTCTGTACTGTACCATGCACCCGAAGACTCGTAACATTTTTGTGCTGCCCTGCTTCCCTGTCCACAGCAGATGCGGTGATGCGTTGTTCGGGAGTGACGACGACGACAACAAGTTGTGCAGCATGACAGCATGGTCCATTGCTGCTGGCCACTGGTGGTTGGGTAGCCGCATGCCGCGTAACAGTTTGGGCATGCTGTTTTGCAGAGTCCTGTTCATTCGTTCTGCGACACCTTGCTGTTGATGTGCGTAGGGAAGGGAGAGAAGTTGCTTGATCCCCCTTTTCGCCAGGAACTGCTTGAAGCGCTGAGAGGTGTACTCGCCACCTCCGTCTGACTGGAAGCTTTTCAGTTGCGTTCCAGACTCTCTCTCTGCTACCGGTAGCCAGGCGGCGAATGCTGCGAGTGCCATGTCGCGGCTGGGTAGGTTACGATGCCAGACATATCGAGTGGCGGCGTCGATGAAGGTGATGGTGTAGTTGTAGTTAACTTGTCCTGGTTCGCGATTGTAGAGGATGTCGTTGTAGACCTTTTCGAGTGGTGCGTACGCTGGAGCGCTCGGGTTGTGATGTGGAGCGAACGGTCGATGAGGTAAGTCAGCTTCGGGACATATAAGGCAAGTCCCTCGTGCCTTTTGGAGTTCTCTGCCATCGGGTAGAAGTAGGGAGTCTTTGTCAAGAACTCCTGCTCTTATCGTGTTATTTAAAACCGTGTTGCTTGCATGTCCTGTGCGTGCGTGCCAGATCTCTTCAGAGGCGCGGTGTCCGGGTGAACGTTGGTATGCGTCGGAGTTGGAGTAAAAACTGGCGACGAAGTTGGCGCTTCGGTGGACTTCACGTTGAGTCGGATTCAGCTGTTGCGCGGGTGTTGGTGGTGCTTCGTCGACTGTGACCGGTGTCGTTGTTCCTGCTGCTGCTGATGTTGTCTCTGCTGCCGATGTTGCTGCTGCTGCCGATGTTGTCTCTGCTTCTGATGTTTGTTGAATCGTCGCTAACGCTCTTGTTCGTTCTGCTTCAGGGATAGTGTGGGAGTACCAGAAACCTCCCAGGCTGAAGTCGGGGTCGAGATCAGGAGGGTGTGTCCAATCAGTAAAATTCACGATGGCGTCGCTGTCTGCAGTGCCCAGGTCAGGAACGAAGTCGAGGACGAAGACGTTGTTCTTCAACACTGCCTTCCCGATGTAGAGACCGCCTCTCCCGTGGTATAGCTTGAACTCCTGGGTGGTGCTGTCGGCTTCCAGGTGAATCCCCTTCGCCATCAGCTGGCTAACACTCAGTAAGTTGTAACCGAGTCCTTCAGCAATGAGTACCTTAGACATGTGCAGTATGACATTTGTTTCTCTTGACTGAAGCTGTACCACTCCTTGTCGTCGTGTGCGCAGGTTTTGATTGTTGGCGACCGTGATGATCACTTCTCGTTGGATTCGATGTTCGCGTTGTACGAAGCGCCCGGACGAGCACATGTGTTGCCCGCAGCAACTGTCCAAGAACCAAGTGTCTTGGCCGGACGGTTCACTTTGAGCGATGGCGGCGTAAGTCGGATTCGGGTGGAGTGATTCGCGGCGAGGCGTCCTGTTGTCGAGCTCCTCTTCTGGTGAGTAATGGGGTGGTGACTCTGTTGTGCAAGAGTCGTTTATCTTTACCATGCAGTTGACTATGTTTCTTGCTCCTTGTGCAGGTTGTCCAGTTGAAGTCGTTGAAGCTTGAATCGTTGTTGTCGGACTTCCTTGCGTTGAAGCAACTTGTGAGCTTGAAGGCCGCAGTTGTCGCTGTGGTGTTGTCTGTCGAGACGGGCAATGCGTGCGGGGGTGTCCTGATGTTTTGCAGATGTGACAAAACGGAGGTACTAACTTAGGCTGCTGCTGTCGGTTGTTGTAGTTGTTGTGTCGTCGCTGAGTGTGGAAAGCGAACTCCGGTGCTAATGCCCTTTTCTTGTGCCTTTCTTCTTGCAGGTCGATATCCTGCTGCTCGGCGTGGATTTCTGCGCAGAGTGCCGCTTCGGAGATCCTCCCGTGTGCTCGAAGAATTGCTTTGGTGGCGCGCCACTGAGGACCGAGGCCACTGATGACGACTGTTACGAAGGCGTCTTCAGAGATTGATCCTCCGCATCGAAGAAGCTTGTCGCGCAATTCGCGACATCGGCTGATATACGCCAACCCCTTTTCTCCTGGTTTCATTTCAACTGTTGTCAACTGCGCCATTAACCTGCTCTGGTTTACACTGTCTGTTGCCTGATACAGGTTCTTCAGATGGCCGTACGCAAGTTCCGCCGAGTTGCCGAAGTTCCGGTAAGAGCGAATGTTCTGCTGCTCGGTTGGTGTGATGTTTCTCAGTAGAATAGTATACGCCATCATGGATTGATACGTATACTGCTGCTTCTCATACTGTGTGCCGTTTGCTGGATACTGCAGGGATCCGTCGAAGAAGCCGAGTATCTGCGCGCCCTCCATCATCAGCTCGAATTCAAATGACCAGGTGAAGAAGTCCTTTCCGTCGAAAGGTCTTGACGTTTGTAATTTCAAAACATGCGCGAATTGCGACTGAACTTGTAACGCGTCCATTGGTTTGTCTTGCGCAGGTGAAGGTTGAGGCAGGAAGCTGATCGACCCGCGCTCGTACGGGGCGAAGGTGGGTTGCTGCTGTTGATTCCCTCGCGCATATGACGACCCATCAAGGCTCATGGGTGTCGCTCCGTTGTTGCTGTTGTGTGTCTGTGCAGGTCCCGACTGCTGGTGTTGCTCGTAGAAGGACATGAAGGAGAAGAATTTCTCCATCATGCTCTGGTCGAAGTCAGAAGGGTGATTCGTGGGGGTCTCGGTTGACGTTCCCCTTGGTCTTGCTGCCGTGCCTTCCTCTGTCTGCAGGCCAGAGGCTGGTGGTGGAGTAGGAGTAGTGCCCGAGGAGCCATTAGGGGAGCTCCTTTCCTTGTTTGTTGCCATGTCTTGTAATATAAAAAGTTTAGAGTTTCCCCTGTCTGCTCTCATACCATGTTGGGCTGAGAAGGCCCTTAAGGATCTTTGCAGAGGATAACTCTGGGTAGGAAACTTGTAATGGCGGAAGCGTTTAATGAAACTTGTGAACCGACCTTGCAGTGGTGTGTGAGAGCAAAGTAGATTAAATTAAACAAGCAAATACAAGGTCTTATATAAGGGTACAGGGAATACGAATAGATAGATAACTGTATTGCTGTTGCGATTCGATACAGTGCGACTCGGGCAACTGCTCTGTAACGAGTCAGTTGTGTGTCCTTAATTGTCGCGCTGTAATTGTCGAGTCAAAGGTCGCTGACCTTTGACTTTCTCGTAACCTCCAGGCGGTTACCCTTACCTCCGAGGTTTGACTCGATGTTTCGATTCGGACTGCTTCGCTAGTGTCTTGGGTTTTGACACGACAGAAGCGCACTAAGACTTATTGTTTCCAACAAGAGGGGTGTTTTTTTTTTTTTGCAGCCCACAACAAGAGGACAGCGACAGTCCATTATGGTGTAATTATAGTGCATATACAGTCAGTGTGCTTTGCATTGTAGAATCATTAGAGTCTGTTCGAAACCATTATCCATAGCTGTACATTTTCATTCCTGAAAATTCCCGGTCCATGTAGATTGTTTACTTCGATCGCCTCATTGAACGCACTAGGTGTAAAGATTCGAGGCAAACTATAGCGCGTGCATTCTGATCGGGTGAACACGAGGGGCAAATTGGAGGCGAAGGTCTCGAGGCTCGTAGCCCTAACGTAGAAGCCCTCACGAAGCATCAGCTGGTGCTATGCGTTGGAGGCCTCAAGCCAAACTGGCAACCGAACAGTGAATTGACTATCTGACACGGATCCAGCGCGATCCGCGTTTATTCGCCTCCGCAACAAAATTCGTACCGCCGAATCGTCTGTCGAGGGATGCCCTTCAAATTCAATCACACGCCGCTCAGCGTTCTATGACGATTCCACGGCGCGATCGCGCTTACCGCCGGATGTCAGGCGCCTCTCTACTCGCGCTAGCCATTCTCGCATCCTCGCTATCGCTCGCACCGCATGCGTCGCACGCGACGTCGTCTGCCAGTCGCACCAGCAGCGTCGAAGCGTCGTCCCTGCGACCCTCCGGCTTCCTACCCGCCATTAACTCCCTTCTATCACAGCGCACCAGGTGCGACCTTCCCGAGCCATCTCATCCGCGCACGCCGCCCCGTGTCGAGCCCTAATTTCACGCTCTTGCCTGTGCTTTCCCCAAAATTCGCACGTGTCATGTTGCCAGAACGCGAGCGTCTTCCACAAGTGTCTACACCTGGACGCAGATCGTGGTGCGTGGAATTCAAGTCATCTCAAGATGGACAGGCCTTTAGCTACTGGCTTGAAGGCACTGGCTTAGTGGGCGGGTGGATTGCTCATCGTCGATCGCACTCACCGATTGCCCCCCTCTGAACACACCTCCTCTCCAACACACCCAACGCCAAACACGAGTGCCCTCGCACCCCTTGTTTCCCTGCCTTCATCTTTTCCAACCCTTCCCCCTCTCACCCCCCCCCACCCGTGACCCCCTCCTCCCCACCGCGCCCCCCCTCCGCTTCCCCCGTCACTGTCTCGTCTCCCCGCAGCACCCAGCGCGAGCGCCTCACGTGCAAGCATGAGCTGGAGCAGCTGCGACAATGGCACGCCGCCACGTTTCACATGCCAGCTGGCGTGCACGGGGATAATCCAGCTGGCAGGGGCGCGGAAGATGACACGAGCATGCAGAATGGCATGGGCGGCATGGGCGGGAGGAGGCAAGGCGTTGAGGAGACGAGGGAAGGCCAATTGGATGGGTGGAAGCAAGGGGATGAGGGGAGCAGCGGCGGGGAGAGCAGCGGCAATGAGATTGCGGCAGGGGTGGATGAAGAAGCGGCGCCCTCAAGGCGTGCAGGAGGGGCGGAGGATGTGTGGGGTGCTGCGGCGAGGGTGGGCGGGCAGCGCGCACTGCTGGCGGTGGGCGGGGTGGGGTGGCGCAAGAAGCTGCGGGATCAGATGGGACGACTGGCGCGCATGGACGCTGAGATGGCGGAGAAGAAGGTGGGGGAGGGGGACGGGGGGGGAGGGGGGAAGGTGGAAGATGGGGACGGGGGGGGGGAGGGGGAAGGGGGGGGGGGAGGGGGAAGGGGGGGGGGAGGGGGAAGGGGGGGGGGAGGGGGAAGGAAGGGAGGGGGGAGGGGAGAGAGTGAGGGAGCAGGTCCTATTGGGGTATGGGTGGATAAGCAGGGAGGTGAACTGTCGGGACGTAGGTGAGGTGGAACGGCAGAGGGGTGTGTGATTGGTCGTCACTTGTCCTGTTTGAGCGCACCTTATTCATGGCTTTCTCTCCTCGTTCCATGTGTGTAAGCGCGCCTCTACTCACGTGTGTGTATGTGTGTGGCCGCATGCCAGTGCGGTCGTGTGTGTGCATGGCTGCCTTCCTGCCTACCATCCTGCCTGCCTGCCTGCCTGTCTGTGCCTGTGTCTGAGTCTGTGTCTGCCTCCTGTGTGTGTGTGAACCGTGCTACTTGTCGGTCTGTCTGATGGCATGCATGCCAGAGGGAGTTAAGGCGCATCAGCACAGCAAGGCAGCGTCTGGACAAGCAGCTAGCGTCCCCTTCCATCAACTGGGCAACTCGCCTCATGCCCAAATCGGTCAGCGCGGGGGGGTGGGGCGTGTAGGGGAGGAACGGGGCTGTGCAGCATTTTCTTCGGAGCTCCAACGGGACTCCACAGCCGCACCCGGTCTTTTGTCGCCATGCAGAATGCAAGCACCGGTTAGCTCTGTGAACCAGTGTGTGTTCTAACATGCTTGTATCTTCTCGCTGCCGTGTGCTCTCACTTCCCTGCCTGCCACAGCCTGCAGCAGAGATAGTCACGTTCCCGCGTCTTTGTGCATGTGTGCATACGCCGGCGCCCACCCACGGGGCATGTGGCTGTGTATGCCTGTGTGTGTGTGCCTGTGCGGTGCATGGCAGGCGATGGAGAGGGCGAGGGCAGTGGTGGCATCGTGCACGGGCATGGGCATGCTGCTCTCACACCCCGCACACGTGTGGAAGGTGAGTCGCGCCTTGGGTGACTGCGTCCCATGAGGGCCGACTGGCCTCATAACTCAGAGTGGCATGGGGGTTGAGTTGTGCCAGGTGGTGGTGTGGTGTGGTGTAGTGGGGCGTGACAATGAGCAAGGCGATCCTTTCCTTTGCAAGCGAGATCTAATGGCAGAATCACTGCCAGTTTGTCTGTGCATGGACAGCGCGTTTCGTCCCCCTCGTACCATGCCATTCCATGAAGCACCCTTGCTCCCATGCCTTTTCCATTGCACACACGACACATGCCCACCCATTTCAACCCACACCCTCCCGTGCCGTGGCCATCAGGCGTACGCGTGTGAGGGCAGTGAGGAGGAGCTGATGCAGTACCTGGACTACAAGCCGCGCCACATGTGCCCCGACGACTGGCTCGACACGCAGGCGCTGCTCTTCCACCGCCACTGCTTCGCCCTGCCCATGCGCCGCTGCCTCTCCCGCACACCAGCTGCCCACGTCGAGGTCAGTCAGTCTGTCACATGCCTTGTCATTGTCGTCGTCCCTGCGTAGTGGAACCTTGACGTGCAGGTGTTGCTCTGGACACCTGTGCTGCTGCGCTGCTCGCATGGCTGTTGCTGTTGCTCGTTCACCCTGTGGCAACCAAGCAAGCCAACCAAGATGGGCATGAGTGAGGGGCGTTGCAATGTTCTTGGGCTTCCACAGATCGGTTCCAAGTGAAATGCCACTCACGCACGGTAGTCCTCTGAACCACACCACACCTTCAATTCCTATCCCGCCCCTTCTCTTCCCTCCTGCCCCCCCTTCCCCCGCCAGCCCATGCCATTCCCGCAATCGCTCTTCTCGCAGCTGACCCTGCAGGACACAGCAGTGCGGTGGCAGCACCACGCGTGCAAGTCGTTCCACTGCCTCAACAGCAACAGCAATAGCAACGGCATGGCGGGCAGCGAGTGCGCGCAGTGCTTCAACATGAGCGTGCAGAGCAGGCGATGGCAGTCGCGCTTCCGAGGGGCGCTCTCCGTGCAGGACGTGGTGCGGTGGAAGCAGGGCGCTCTCAGGTGCGGTGGCAGCAGGGCGCTCTCAGGTGCGGTGGCAGCAGGGCGCTCTCAGGTGCGTGCTAATGCTATGGGGACGTAATGGGTGGGAAAAGAGGTTCCTGAGTTTGACGGCGAAGAGAAGGCGAGAGGAAAGCTGGCTAGGGAGGTTTTGAGGGAGAAACTGTTACTGGTTGGGGAAACGAGCACAGGTCAAGGCAGTCAAGCCCTGCCCACCACAGCTCACGTGCTCCTTTGCCCCCATCTTTCCCACACCTCTCTCTTCATCAATCCGCTCACGCACCATCACTCCATCCTTGACGCATCACAGCTCCGTGCCTGATGAGAGAATGGTGACGCACAGCCATCATAAACACAACGGCACCACCACGGCCATCATCCATCCCCTCCTTCCCCTCCTCTCCAGGGTTGGGCTGGACGTGGGAGGTGGCACGGGCAGCTGGGCGGCACACATGACGGGGTACAACGTGACAGTTCTCACCACGGCCATCAGTCTCCCCCCTCTCCCCGTGCCTCCCTCCTCTCCTCCAGGGTCGGGCTGGACGTGGGAGGTGGCACGGGCAGCTGGGCGGCACACATGGCACGATACAACGTGACAGTTCTCACCACGGCTATTAATGCGGAGGCACAGGGCACGGGGCGGACATCAATGCAGGCGCAGGGCACCCCATACATGGAGACAATTGCACTGAGGGGACTCATTCCCCTGCACGTGCCACACTCAGTGCGTGCTGGGATGTGCTGGGATGTGCTGTGATGTGCTGTGATGTGCTGTGATGTGCTGGGATGTGCGGTGCCCTGCTGTGATGTGCTGTGCTGTGATATGCCACATGTAACAGTATAGCAACTTGCACCACACCATGCCACAACTGGTCACCTCATCACATCACATTACCCGCATCTCCTGAACCTCTCTCCCCCACTTCCCCTGTCCACCTCCCCACTCGCAGCAACGGCTACCACTTTTCGACAACACAGTGGACATCATCCACTGCGGCGCCACCTGCATGCTCTACCTCCCTCTCACCCCTCTCCTCCCCTGGGAGCACATGCTCTTCGAGTGGGACCGCGTTCTGCGAGTGGGCGGCGTGCTCTGGCTCGACTCTCTGCTGCTCCCCCTGCGAGACTTGCCGCTGTATGTGGCACTGGTGGACGGGCTGGGGTACAAGCGCCTGCACTGGCACATGCTGCCCAGGGGTGGCGTGGGGGAGGAGAGTGACGGGAGTGTGCATGTGCAGGTGAATGCTCTCTTGGAGAAGCCGGTTAGGGTGGACCCTAAGAAGGGGTGGCTCATGCGCTGATGGGATGGGATGGGATTGGACGGTTCATGTGGTTGCAAGAAGGGTATGATTTCCTTGTCCAAAGCTTGAGAAGATTACAGGGTCACTCGTGTGGGTGGGTGGGTGGTGGTACCTAGTATGGCTAGTTGGTGCAAGTCCGAGGACCATACTCTTTATTCATTAATGGACTCGGTTTCACATAAACGAGGCAGATAAATTTCAACACCAGGGTCCGGATGGCCTACACAGCATATACGGTAGCTCAGTAGCATAGCAGCCCCCAGCAACAAAACCCCAGGGCTGCATGAAGTGGTGGTAGTGGCGTTAGTGGAGTTGCCCTGCACGTCGTAGAGAGAGGTCCTCTCTGGAGGACTCAGAAAAGGGCGGCAGAGGAGGGCAGCACAAGGCGGTGGTGGGTAAATGCTTGCTCCGCACAATGTGCAGCCGCGATGGGGTTGGGGCGCGCTGCACATTGACTTTTGGATGACGTTTCAAACGTCAACGAGGCGCCTGTGGATGAAGGCGAGCTCCTCGTAGTGTGCAGGCGCGACAGGGTTGGGCTCCACGTGGAAGAGACGGTACCCCAGCTGCTCTAGATGCCCCACCACTGCCAGTGTCGCTGCTGAGTCGTTCACCCTGGGGAGGGGGAGAGAGGGCAGGTGGGCATGCGGTCGAGGGAGGCGTGACGAGAGGTGAGGGGGAAGGAGATGGAGAGGTACGAGATGATTGGTGAGAGTGCTGCGGGAAGAAGCAGTTGGGAGCAGTGGCATATGGGCGGGATCAGCAAGAGGGTGTGGTAGAGTGCACAGAGCACACTGCGTGTACACTGTGGATGTTATTGAGGATATTGCCCCTGCTGATGCTCATGCCTCTGTGCACAGCACAGCAAGGGTTGCTTGCTTGCTACCAGTCCTCATCATCCTGTAATCTGCCACATGCCATACCTCCTTTACGCTGCTACAGCCACTCCACCATGTGTGACTAACCCACACGGTACCTGCTGTGTCTTGTCTGTGCTGTCGGTGCATGCCACATGCACCCCAGCAGCAGCAGCACAGCTGGCTCACCTGTGCATCTCCACCAGTATCTGACCAACCGCTGGAACTCTCTCCCCCTCACCACCTCGCACCATGCCCTCGCCACCGCCTCTCACCACCACCCCCGACCCCGCTAATCCCCTCCTTCCACCACCACCAACCACCACCTCCCGCCGTCCTTCCCTCCGCCCACCCCCCATATCCTCCTCCTCTTCCCTCTCCGCTCTCGGCCACCCCACGAGGGGTAGCTGTGAGGGGTACACAGTAGAGCCCAGCTCCAGCAGCACCTCTTCCTCGCACCCCTCGCAGTCCAGCTTTAACACGTCCACATACGCATGCCCGTGCTCCGCCATCATCTCGGGCAGCGTCAAAAACTTCTGCTCCGGGTTCGCTGCGCGGGTTTTCTCGAGGCTTGCTTGGGAGGAGAGGCCGGTGGAGTAGAAGGAGAGGCAGTGGAAGGAGTGGTTCAGGAAGTCAGCAAAGGCGGGTGGCACGAAGGGGTCGAAGGTGAGAGGCGTGGTGTGCAGTGAGAGCGTGGCCTCCGTGCCCCCCTGCACCTCGTCCTCTCGCCCCGCTGCGATCGCCTGCTTGCGCTCCCACGCCCACGCCTGCCGCCGCTGCTCGTTGTGCTGCCGGCGCGAGGAGGTAATGGGGGAGAGTAGGGGCACGTGGAGAAAAAGGGAATGATGGGAGGCGGACGGAAGGTAATGGGAGGACGAGGCTATGCAATGAGAAGTTGTGATAGATTTGGTGAGAGAGAGGAGACCAGGGGGGCGGCGGGGTGCGATCGGGGAGGGGAGGAGGGGAAGGGGAGGGTGGGAAGGGGGGAGGGGGAGGGAAATTGCAAGGAAGCTGTTCGTCATCATCATCATCGTCGTCGTCGTCGTCGTCGTCATCATCATCATCATCATCATCATCATCATCATCATCATCATCATCATCATCATCATCCCCATCATCATCATCATCCCCATCATCATCATCATCATCATCCCCATCATCATCATCATCATCATCCCCATCATCATCATCATCCCCATCATCATCATCATCCCCATCATCATCATCATCCCCATCATCATCATCATCATCCCCATCATCATCATCATCATCCCCATCATCATCATCATCATCCCCATCATCATCATCATCATCATCATCCCCATCATCATCATCATCATCCCCATCATCATCATCATCCCCATCATCATCATCATCCCCATCATCATCATCATCATCCCCATCATCATCATCATCATCCCCATCATCATCATCATCATCATCATCATCATCCCCATCATCATCATCATCATCATCCCCATCATCATCATCATCATCATCCCCATCATCATCATCATCATCCCCATCATCATCATCATCATCCCCATCATCATCATCATCCCCATCATCATCATCATCATCCCCATCATCATCATCATCCCCATCATCATCATCATCCCCATCATCATCATCATCCCCATCATCATCATCATCATCATCCCCATCATCATCATCATCCCCATCATCATCATCATCATCCCCATCCCCATCATCTCTCTGAGCCCTTCATCCAGCACTCTCGTCATCCCCCATCACCCAGCACCTGCACGCACTACCACCACGCCGCTCACCTGGAAAGGCTTGTCCGCGAGTCTCAGCATCTGCTGCTCCGCTGCATGCTCCCCCGCGCCCCACTCACGCGCGCTCTCTCCGCCGTCCTAGAGCCCACTGCGCCCCGCGGCCTGCAGCTGCGCGCCGCGCCAGCCTCCCCGCAGCAGCAGCTGCGTTCTGCTCGTCGCGCCTGTGAGCGCCTGCCCTCTGCGCCCGCCGAAAGCATGACCTGCGGCACCGGCGCCGGCGGCAGCTGCTGCATCGGCGGGAGCAGCAGCGGCGGCGGCAGCGGTGGCGGGGGCAAGGGGTCCCTGACGTCGGGGGGGGGCAGCAGCTGAGGCAGGCGCGCGGGGGAAGGGCCGCTCCACGGCGGTGGCGCGGAAGGCGCTGGGAATGGCGGTGGCAGCGGTGCGAGTGATGGGAGTGGAGGGAATGGTGGGAGCGGTGGCAGATGATGTGGCAGATGTGGGAGTGGTGGTATTGATGATAGTGGAGGTGATGGGCGGGTGGATCTGAGGGAGGTGGAGAAGCAGCGTGGTGGTGAGAGTAGATGCGACGAGGAGGTAGATGAGGAGGAGCACGTGAGGCCCGCAGAGGCGGAAGAGAGAGCACGACGAGGACGAGGAGGACCGCGGGACGTGCATGGAGAAGGGAGGGAGAGCGGGAGAAAGGCGTGAGGGTGAGAAGGGCACGGTGAGAGCTGAAAAACGGGAGGCGATATGGTAGGGGACGGTGGTTGGAGGAATGTGTGATGGGGATAGCAGGAGGGGTTGGAATGGGGAACCTAGTACTAGTAGTACCGCTGCTGTCGTCCCGTCATACTATTAGCAGTAAGGAGAAAGCATAGGGAATGTGGCACGGGGTCATAATGAAACGAGGCGAGGCGTAATGACAGTGAGGAGATGATCACTGTAACGGCTGCGACTACTCATTATGATGTGTGGCCAGGCCGCACTTCACGGAGAGCCGCGTTTCCCAGGCGGGCCGACGCTGCGCTTGCCCTCGACTGGTTTCTGCTCGATATACAATGCTAGTAGCGCGCGTCGCATCCGTGGGACGGGTGCGATAGCTGCAGCTGCTGACCACAAAAACAGTCACGGTGGCCTCTTAGAAATGGGTAGCGAAACATCGCGGAAAAGGTTTTGGCCCAAAATTGCTTGTCCAAAGGCGGTTCTGCCGAAATGTTGCGGAAAAGCCTCCGCATGTATCCAAAACACACCCACGCCGTGAATCCGCAGCAGCGGCGATGGTGGTTGTTGTGTGTATCGTACGGAGTGTGAGAGTGCACCAGGCGCCATGGCCGCAGGTCATGGCCATGATGGCCATGGAGCGTAGTTCTTATCATCTGCCACGCAGCAGCGGCGATCCAAGTGAGCACCGCGAGTCATTGGCTCTCGGATGAGATGCTGCTGCATGGCGGCGATGGCGGAGGTGACTCAGAGAGGACCACGACATGGTGGTGTACAGTTGTCGTCATGGCTATAAGCAATCCACTCCACTCCACTCCATTCCACCCGTGTGACCAGGAGTCCTGGAATTTCGGGGCCTGACGAAGACCGCTGGCAAAAGAACTACACTCCAATTTGTGACTCGCTGTCTTGACATTTTTTCCCGCCAGAACCGAATATCGGAGGCATTCACTTTCAACTTCCTGTCCTGAATGTTTCATATTTTCCACCTCATTATATGTGACACTTCGACCTGGTTTTCGCTCGCACGGGGTCATGCATAGGGGAGGTTCTCACAATAGTAGTTTTCATCGGAAATTGACGCGAAGAACCCAGGCGCATTTGGGGCTCTGGAAACAAGAAAAGGGACTAGCATCACCACACCCCGATAATGCACGCAGACAGTTGATATGGTCGGGTTGATATGGTATGATACGGGCTTGATTGAAACGAGTGATGTGCAGGGAGAGGGGGCCAGGAATAAAAGGCTAAAAAGGCGTTGCGCGTCGCCCGTAACTGTAGAAACATGGGATTCCACTCATTGTAGATGTTACAATCTATCTCCACCGTAGAGGCCTAAAAACACATACAATGCAGTTCTACTTTGCCTAGCCAGCATACGCTCGCCTATGACGTCACTCACACGCACATCCAGCTGTCACTGACACTGACCAGGTTAGGTTATCGCCGCATCTTTCTGTGATAACCGGTATCACGATTCTTCTTCCAACAAGCCACACAACGGTGGTGCTCGCTTGCTCCCTCCCCCCGACCCTCTCGACGGCAGAAATTCTGCAACAGCCTCGTCGCCAACGGCAGGTGGGTAGTCATAGTCACCCACAGCCGACGGGAAATCTCCTCTCGCTGAAACACTCGACGCAGCAGCAGCAGCAGCACCAGGAGAAAACTCTGCACCCCCTGCACTGCCCCTGCCCTCCCCTTCCCTGCTCTGCACCTCCTTGCCTCTGCCCTCTGCCTTGGGGGAACCCCCTGATGGCAGGTAAAAGAGACTGTTGCGCTTGCGCCACTCCTCCGTGCTGCCTTCCACCCCAGCACCCACCTGCTGGGTCGTACTCGCACCGCCTGCCCCCCCTCCTCCCCCTCCACCCATCGTTTGTCCAGGCACAGCATAGCCCATAGCACCACCATGCAGCGCCACTCCTGCCCCTCCAGCTGCTGCTGCTGTCCTGCTGCCAGGAATGGCAGAGGAGGAAGAGGGGATGGAGGAGGTGGGCAGGAAGCGGGGTGGCAGCGAGCGCACAAAGAGGATACCAGAATCCCACTCATCGTGTGATGACTGCCCAAAAGCGTCCAGCCATGCCAGAGCAGCAGCACCAGCACCATAACCACTGCTGCTGCCACAAGGCATGGCACCAGGAGGGCCTACTCCCATCGCCACTGCTGCTTTCTCCACAGCTCGCAGTAGCTGCTGCTTGCCTGCTGCTCCCACTGCTGTGACTTTAGACGCCGGAGGTGTGAGCGCAAGAGGAGGGTGGGGTGCGGCCGCGTCAAATTGGGAGGCAGGGAAGAGTGAGGCCAAGGTGTAAAGCATCAGCAACTGCTGCTCCAACTGCTGTTGCTTGTGCTGTTCATTCACGCCCACGCCTGCATTTCCCCAATCCACCGGCTTTCCCTCCACAGTGCTTCCAGCAACATCACTTTCTCCTGCTGCCCCTCCTCCTTCCTGCCCTTCCTGATCAACCTGCCTCTCAGCGCGCACAGACTCTAGCAGCAGAGGCAGCAGCAGGCCCAGCAGAGCAGCCACATTGCAGGCCCTGTCCGCCACATCTGCATCAGCAGACTGCAGGAACGGCACCAGCCGCTCACGTGCCTCCTCTAGCACATGCACCACCCAATGCACTCCGCTCCCCCTTGCTCCTGCTGCCTCTGCCATTGCCGCTGCTGCCACAGTCCACCGCGCTTCTGTCCCTGCCGCAGCACAGCCACCACTAGTTACCGAGCCTGGCGATTCGCTTCCTGCTCCAAGGCTGCTCCCAGTTGCTGGTGGTGATGACCCCCTTGGCAGCAGGCGCGTGGGTGTGGCTTGCGCTGTGAGGGCGAGGAGCACCTTGAGAGCGGCCTGTAGGAACACAGCCTGGGTTGCCGGGGGCAGAAGCAGCACACTTGGCTGAAGCAGCGAGGCGAGCAGGGAGGACAGAGTCGAGTCCAGGGCACCTGCTGATTCTGATCTTGACAATGGTGGTGCAGAGGGGGATTGGGATGGAGCAGAGAGCGCGGTTGTGCCACTGCCAGTGCTGCTGCTCTCACGCGCCCCTGCAGCTGCAGCAGCACCAGCACCCCGGGGCAGCAGCTCGTGAGCGCACTCGCCCAGGAGGAACGCTGCAGCAGCCAGCACGTGGTCGCCGCCCGCCCTGCTCCTCAGCAGCGCTGTATCCCCCACCAGGCGCAGCGCCAGGTGCAGCGCCGCTGCTCTCACTCGCGCCCGGTCTGCCACCGGCACGGGCGACCCCAGTGCCACCGCCACCAGGTGCCGCCCCACCTCCCTGCTCCTCTCACTGCCCGCCCATGCTTCTGCCCCTGCTGCTCCGGCTGATAGGGCGTGGGTGAGACCGGAGGCACCACTCACTCTGCGACTGTATCCATGGGAACTGGCTGATGGGTCTCCCAGGGGTGCCAGTGACCACACACTCTCGTCCGCTGCTGCTGCTGCTGCGCCTGCACCTGCGTGTGAGGGCAGGGCGAGGCTGGCAGTGGAGGTACCCCCGCCCACAATCGCCACGTAGCAGATGTCCTGAAGCACGTCTATGTACCACACGAAATCCGCCACGCGTTCAAACCCCCCCGCGCCGCACATCTGCAGCACGGCCGTCACCAGCTCGCCGCACAGCGGGCTGCGCGCCGCCGCCGCCCCCGCCATGCGCTGCCGCAGCGCCGCCACCGACGGCACGAGCGACGGGCGCGTGACGAGCGCTGTGATCAGGCGCAGCGCTGCGGATTGCACGGCGGGGTCTGCGTCGTCGAGTGATGCGATGATGGCGGATTTGAAGCGCAAAACCTCAAGGGCGTGGTGTGGGAGGAACATCTCCAGTGCTCGCAGCCCCAGCAGACGTACGTTCGCGTCGTGCGCTCCCACCACCGCTGCCGGTGCTGCCGCGCTCGCAGCACCAGAAGTGCTGCCACTGCTGCTGGCCGCTGCACCGCCAGCGCCGCTGCCCCCACCGTCCCCTGCGCTGCCTGTGCCAAGATCCGCAGCCAGTGGCTCGTTCGCCACTAGCCGCGTGGCTGCCACGCGGATGGCCAGCTGGCGCAGGGAGTCCACGTGGCGCATGCTGAGCGCGACGGCGCGCACGCTCTCGAGCAGCAGCGACTTGGAGGGCGTGGCGCGCAGCAGCGCCGCCAGGGGCTCCGCCACCTTGCGCGCCACGCGGGGCTCCGCGGCGGCGAGCGCGGCGAACGTCTTCACGAGCTTGATGAGCAGCCAGGGGGACGACGACGGGTGCAGTAGCGGGAACAGATCGGGCGCCAGAGGCAGGTACCTGGACGGTAGTGGCTTGCCCGAGGCCGCGCGCTGCTGCTGCTGCTGGGTTTGCTGTGCTTGTGAAGGGCCGGATTGGAGGGTTGGATCGATAGGGGTGCTGCTGCTAGTGCTCCGCTGGTGCTGCTCGTGCAGGACTAATTCGCACACCAGCGACACCACGGCGGTTACCACTGCCCTGTCGCTGTCGTGCAGGCGCTCCGCGAGCCTCGCGAGCAGCGCAGGCAGCTCGTCGTCGTCTCCGCCTGTTTCTCCTGATCCTCCAACCCCGCCGCTCGCTCTACTTTGATGCTGCATCTGCTGCTGGTGCACAATTCTGAGCATGGCCAGAGTGGCCTTGCGCCGCCCCGCGACGCGCGTGCCGTTCAGCAGCGCCACCACCTCCGTCGTGAGCTCCGCCGCTAGCCCCGGCGGCGCCGCCGAAGCGATGCATGAGAGCGCGAGCGACGCGTCGTGCGGGTGCTGCCCGGTCAGATCCTTCCGCAGCTGGTGCGTCGCGAGAACCGCCACGTCGGGCGCCGAGGAGAGACTATGCGCGGCGGCGAGGTAACCAACGTACTTAACGGCGAAGCTGCGGTGGCACCCCATGGCCTCAACGGACGGGAACGCCGCCCACGCGATATCCGAGCCGCCCGCCTGCCCCAGCATGTGCAGGTATAGGAGCTTCTCTAGTGCTGCCGCCTTGCTGCGCGGATCCGACGACTTGACTTCGCGCCGCACGTCGCGGAGGGTTTTCGCGAGGATCTTGGCCTCTTCGGCGGGGGATGGTGCGGCGCGGAGGGATTTGATGACGTCGGTGAGGGACTTTTGAAAGAGGAGATCCATGGCGGACGGGCGGGGTGAGGGCGTGGGAGGAAAGATGCGAGAGGCTCAGATAACGGGAAGGCCAAAGGGTGTGGTGGGCGAGGATGAAGCGACGGGTCTCGGGACGAAGATGGGACGATAAAAGAAAAGGAGCGAGCCAGGTCGTGCGTGATGAAGGTGAGAGGCGACTACGAACGAAGCGGGCCCGGGAGGTAGGGCGAGGACGACGCGAGTGCCACCATGGTTGCTTGAATTCGAGTGAGTGCTACGATCAGCTGAAGTGAGTGCTACGATCAGCTGAAAGCGTGAAGTGTGTGAGGGGATTTGTAACTTCGTGTGCTCCGTTGCACGATTCCCTGGTCTAATTTAAACATTGGTAACAGCAAATACAGTTCCTTGGTGTAGTTTCTCCAATCTATAACTTGTGTAGAGTTCTGGGTGCATTTGAGCGAGCTAACGGATTATAAAAAAAGGCCAGATAATGTATTTGAAATTTTCTGATGATTTTAACATGCAAAACCCGTATTATAATAGCAACAATAACTTAAAAAAACAGTGAGTCACACAAAATGTTACCATACGACTTTGTTCGGGTAGGACAGCGGAATGGTGTTCCACTAGTAAGATATTGGTACAAATACCAAAGTATTATACCCTATACTATGTCACTCACTGCTGCACAACAACAATGATATCAATATAACTTGACACAACTCGATAGGGTACGTGAGGGGCATCAAAATGACCAAGAGAAACAAACGGTGACAAGATCAGTCAACAACAATGACGAAGCAAGTGATTTAATTCAGGCTGGCAATCACTAGACCAATAGGACAAATGTGGCTTGTTCAATATGCAGGTCAGTGCGTCCAAAACCTCAGGCTAACATGAATGTAATCCAATTATGATCAATTAAGGATCCGCACTGCAGGTAACTCGACACCTTGCCACACGGGGTGGGGAGGCCCAGGACATGGCACAGCGCCTTCGACAGCATGTGCGCACATAGTGATTCGAACCCAAAACATTTCGCTTTGATACCATGTCAGAATCCCAGTCATTAGACCACTATGATAAAATGGCTTGTTCCATATGAGGGTCAGTGCGCCCATCCCCCCAGACTAACATGCCTGTGATGTAAAAAAATATATATTTATATCTATGTAGGCTGTATGGGGGTTAGAACTAGGGGGTATACAATTCATTTCGGCACTCTTCTTGTACCCCTCCTTTTACATACTCCATCCATTTCTCTTCTGTTTCCCGAATCGCGCCCCTATGCGCATCGGTTTTCCTGCCCGTAGTGCGCCCCTTAGTGAGCCCCTGAGGGTGACTCACCAGCTGCCCGCGTGCTACCTGCACAGCCTATGTTCGAGTATTATAGCTGATGCATGTTTGTAGGCTATAGTGGGGTAGCACATATGGGGTACAGGGTTTCTAGGGTTGTATTTGTACCCAATCTTTCCTTAGTCATTCTCATTCCTGTTTTCCTTGCTTCACATGGTATAGAGCGGGTCCTGCCTTAGGACCGTTTTTTTAGGGCCCACCGAAGCGCGCCCCGAGGCGCGCCCTTTTTTTTAGCGACCCCTCGGGTCGCCTTTTCCCTCGCGGCCCCGCTGTCCCTCAGACGCGGCCCCGCCACCTCTCCTGATCGCGGCCCCGCCGCCTGCTTGACGCGGCCCCGCCGCCTCCCCTGACGCGGCCCCGCCGCCTCCCCTGACGCGGCCCCGCCGCCTCCCCTGACGCGGCCCCGCCGCCTCCCCTGACGCGGCCCCGCCTCTACTGCCGCGGCCCCGCCGCCGCCTCTGACGGCCCCGCCGCTGCACCCTACGGCCCGCCGCTGCACCCTACGGCCCGCCGCCTCTGACGGCCCCGCCGCTGCACCCTACGGCCCGCCGTTGCTCCTGCCGGCCCGCCGCTGCACCTGCCGGCCCGCCGCTGCACCCAGCGGCCCGCCGCCTCTGACGGCCCCGCCACTGCACCCTACGGCCCGCCGCTGCTCCTGCCGGCCCGCCGCCTCACCTGACGGCCCCGCCGCTGCTCCTGCCGGCCCGCCGCTGCTCCTGCCGGCCCGCCGCTGCACCTGCCGGCCCGCCGCTGCACCCAGCGGCCCGCCGCTTCACCTGACGGCCCTGCCGCTGCACCTGCCGGCCCGCCGGTGCACCCTACGGCCCGCCGCTGCACCCTACGGCCCGCCACCTGCACCTGCCGGCCCGCCGCTGCACCTGCCGGCCCACCGCTGCACCTGCCGGCCCGCCGCTGCACCTGCCGGCCCGCCACTGCACCGGTCGACCCGCCGCTGCACCTGACGGCCCCGCCCCTGCATCTCCCGGCCGGGCCGCCCCAGCAGCCGAACCGCCCGGGAGCCGCCGCCCAACGCCGAGCCGCCCGGGACCCGAGCCGCCCTGCCGCCGAGCCGCCCGGGAGCCGAGCCGCCCTGCACCCGAGCCGCCCAGCCGCCGAGCCGTCCGGGAGCCGAGCCGCCCTGCGCCCCAGCCGCCCAGCCACCGAGCCGCCCGGGAGCCGAGCCGCTGTGCACCCGAGCTGCCCGGTCGCTGAGCCGCCTTTCTGCAGAGCTGCACGACCTGCCCTGCCTGGTGAGCACAGTCCCACTGACACTGCGAGCTCTTTCCCTACTGCTTGCACTGCGTCGCTGTCGTCGCCATGGCTACCCCTAGTGTCCTAGCTTTCGACGCTGAGGGTCGCGCCATTGATTTTGAGGTCTGGTTAAACGACCTGCAGCTGTTCTTACAGTGCGACAGGGCTGACGACCTTTCTCTCTTTGACCTCACCTCTGGCGCCTCTCCTCCTCCTGCTGCTGATGCTGATCCCTCTGTCCGCTCTCAGTGGGCCACCCGCGATGCTGCTGCACGTCTTGCTGTGCGTCGCCACCTCCCTACCTCTGAGCGTGCGCACTTTAGCCAGTACAAGAGTGCTCAGACCTTGTACGACGCTGTAGTTGCGCGCTACTCCTCCCCTGCCACTGCTGCATTGAGCCGTCTCATGCTTCCCTACCTCTTTCCTGACCTCTCTGCCTTTCCCACTGTTGCTGACCTCATTACGCACCTCCGCACTACTGACACTCGCTACCGCGCCGCCCTTCCTGCTGACTTCTGCGCTAAGAACCCCCCCCCCATGTACATCGCTCTCTACTACGTAGTCGCGCGCCTCCCTGACTCCCTTCGCGTCGTTAGGGACCACTTTCTCGCTGTCTGTCCCACCACCCTCACCGTCGACCTCCTCGAGAAGGCCCTCCTCGCAGCGGAGAAGAGCATAGTCGCTGTAGGTGCTTCTCGTGGTGACCCTCGCACCCCCATCTTTGAGGGGTGCTCTCCTTCCCCCTTGCTGCCCTCTGTTGCCTCTGCTGCTGCTGCCGACCTGCTTGGTCTTGAGTCGGTCGGCGCGGCGTCTACCCCTAGTGGGAGACGTCGCTCTAGCAAAGGCAAGGGGGGCAAGGGCGCGGGTGGAGCTGGAGGGGGCGGTGGCGGTGGCGGCGGTGGCGGCGGAGGGAGTGGGGGTGGTGGCGGGACTAGTGGCGGGGGTGGTGGTGGTGGTGGTGGCAGCAGCGGCGGAGACGGTGGTGGTGGTGCCAGCGGTGGTGGTGGTGGCAGCGGCGGAGGTGGAGGCGGCGGAGGTGGAGGCGGTGGATGCGGCAGCGGAGGAGGCGGTGGTGGTGGAGGAGGTGGAGCTGGTCGGGGTGGTACCCAGCAGCGTAGCGGCGGTGGTGGTGGCCAGCGCTCGCAGCGGCAGCAGCAGCAGCGCTCGCGGGACATCCCTCCGCCTCAGCAGCTTCGTGAGTGGTACGCTGGGCGTCAGAGGGGTGGGGGTACTGGTCCCTGCACCTACGTTCTTCGTTCCGGCGACCGCGCGGGTGAGCAGTGTGGGGGTGCCCACGCCACCCAGCGCTGCTTTGGCCGCCTGACGGACGCTTGGCGTCGGCAGTTCCCTGGGGCTAGTGAGATCCCTCGCTGGGATGAGCTTCTTAGGGCTGGTGTAGCGATCTTTGATCTTGATTTTGATGCTATCCTTGCTGCTATGTATGCTGTGGATTATAGTGAGGAGAATGAGGGTTACCGGTGTTTCCAGCCCGACCCGGGCATTGGTGCTGCTGCGCTAGGTGCTTGTGAGGCTGCTGCTCTAGGTGCCAGTGCGTCTGTACTCTCAGCAACTGGTGAGACTGCGCTCTCAGGTACTGCGTCGTCCTCGTCCTCCCTCACTTTCACACTTGACTCCGGGGCTTCTCGCTCCTTCTTTCGGGACCGCACTACCCTTACGCCGCTCGGCCGGCCGGTTGCGGTCTCCCTTGCTGACCCCTCTGGGGGTCCTGTCCTGTCTCACTTCTCCACTGTCCTCCCGTGTCCGGCTGCCCCTTCGGGCACCCTGTCTGGTCTGTACCTTCCCTCGTTCTCTACGAACTTGGTGAGTGGAGCGGACCTGCAGGATGTGGGGGTTCACCAGTTCACTCCTGCGAGTCAGCGGGTGACCCACTGCACGGAGGCACGCACAGGCCGCCACCTGGCCACGTTCTCGCGTCGGCCTGGGTCGAGTCTCTACACCCTGACAGTTGAGTCTCCTCCTGTCCCTGCGTCTGGTCAGGTGGCTGCGTCAGGTCAGGTGCTTGCTGCTGCGTCCCGGTCAGGTCCTGAGTCTGCCCCCTGTTCTTGTCGCCTCCTGTCTCACGAGACTCTCCTGTGGCACCACCGTCTTGGCCACCCCTCCTTGCCCCGTCTTCGGAGCATGGCTTCCCGTGTCCTTGTCTCTGGTCTTCCCCAGTCTCTCCCTCCTCTCCCCTCCGGGCCAGGACCTTCCTGTGTCCCCTGTGTCGAGGGTCGCCTCCGGGCTACTCCTCACTCCTCCCACTTCCCCCCGACAGAGGCTCCCCTGCAGACGCTTCACATGGATGTGTGGGGCCCAGCCCCCGTCCGTGGGCAGGGTCACGAGCGCTACTTCCTGTTGGTGGTTGACGACTACTCGCGTTACACCACAGTCCTCCCCTTGCGCAGCAAGGGTGCGGTCACTGA